GATTTTTAAATAGTTAATGCTCGGAAAATAGGATGTGATGTGTGTAAATTAAGTATTTAGTCATACTTCAGCTTCGACATGTTTTACAAAAGTTTTTTTGAATAAAAGTGATTTATTAACATAAAAAATCTCAACGGGAACTAACGTGACTTCGATTTTTGTTTCTATTTATTTTTACATCTATGTTTGTTTGATGAAGTTTCGGAAAAATACAACCATAGGCAATGCCGACTTCGCTTGGCAAGAATTATAGACAGCAACTTTAGATCTGAAGCCGTCAGCCCAAATAGGGATTGGAAAATTACCAATCCGAAATGCATTGTTAAATAGGCGAAATAAAGAGAATTGTTTTAATCTCGATCTCTGTTTAATTATGCATAATTAAGAAAGACGTAATACATATCGCTAGTCTCGCTATTGGAAGAAACCTTTACTTATAAGTTTTTATACGCTATCTAGCATGACTCCGTCAAGTGAACTACCGCCCTTCTCCCGAAGGTTTTGTAGATTTCTAACCTTTCAAGTTGTTTCGGCCGAGGTACTATTTTTCATTTATAAGCAGTGAAATATAATTCTCTATAAGACGACAGTAACGATTTCGTGTCACGTTGTAACTTTAAAGCTCGTTTTTCATTAGGATCATACTTGACAAATTTTGTTTAAAATCGTTCGTGTAAAAACAGAATTAGGTGTAGATTATTTTTTTGTATGAGTCGATAGAACTGTGTCGTTGTCTGTGGTCTTAAATCAGATTAGATTTATACATAGCTAAATAATGACCTCTTGCTTTTAAAAGACCTACCGAAAAGCAGTATTCCCCGCGTAACGACCATCATAAACGTATACAATGTGACGATTGAGTGTTGATATAATGCTGACTAAAGCAATATAGGCTACAGGGTGTAATACCAAACACAAATATTGAACAGATACAATTAATACATTTATTTACACACACACAAAAAAAACAAGTGTCGCAGGATCTTTTGTCGATCCCAACTAAGGTTGGATACCAATGAAATATTCCTGCATCGGGAGTGCACGTGATTAAAGACAAAAAAGAAAAAGAAGAAGAAGAAAAACGTTCCGAGTGTAACAGAATTAATCCGAAATTAATATTACCTTAAAACTACCTTACAATCTAAATAAGAGGAAAGTAGGATAAGAAATTAGAAGGATAGAGATAGAAAGATCAATACGAAAATACCCGGAATTTTGTCAGGGATACTTTCCTCGCTTGGGTCCACAATAAATTCTTCTAGCTATCTAGCTTTATGATTTTCCGTCTTTCGTAACAAATATAGTTTCGTTGCTCATCCACCTTTATGATGATCGAAAGTCTCCTGTTCGGAAAGCAGCACTAATAAAATTTATATCCTGTCGAGCTAACGATATTCGCCGATGCATAATCTTCGCTCTTGTTTTCCTGTCAGGATCTTCGTGCTTCCTCTCCGAAATCGAGATTAAGAATCTCCATTACTCTTTCCCTTTTGGAAAGAGTAATGGAGATTCTTTATTGTCGTTGTCCTCTTTATTGTTCTCGATGTTTCTCGGAACATAACCCCCACGTTGACAAAAGTAAGATTAGAAAGGGAAGACAAGAACAAAGGAAAGACGATGAGAATTAAATTATCAAAACACGTAAATTTTAAATAATTAAAAAGGCAAGTAGCCACAACAACTACTATTACATGATAATTATGTCACTTTACCACGTGGTGATATAGAAAAGGGAACTCCAACCCTCGGCCCACTTAATATTTTTATGCACTATAAATTTTTTAGGTACATTTTCATTCATTTTCGTAAAGAATGTTGTTTAAAATTATTCTCGTTTCACTTGATACACGTTGATGTCGTAATGATGTAATTGGTGCTAGAAAACTGTACTACCATACATGCATAACATACTGTTGTGAACAATTCTTTTCGTACATGAAAAACATCAAAACTGCTGAAAAAATAGGTTGAGTGATTCCCGTTTAACTAACATTCTTAGAACTAAAACTAGTACCATAAAAGCAGATATTCACAATATTATAAAAGAAAGGCAATATTAGAAATCACATTGAATTTATTTTTATTTTGTATGACTATAATTTTTTTACTGTCAACAATACAGTATTTTATGTAATTATATATATTTGTTATTAAAATTTGATGTTCACATTTCGAACTTTTTAAAAGCATATATTTATATAAAGTACGTACTGTGCCTTTGTTGCCCGCTGAATATACGTAAATTTTTAATTTGGCCCATTGCCCCATTAGGAATAAAGGTTGGACCACCCTGGCCTAGAAGTTTATGCCCAACTAGCTGATACGATACTCTGCACATGCAGCATCCGTATAAAAATTATTGAGGAACGCGTTCGTATATTCCTGTCAGACAGCAAAAATGGCTGTTTGTATTAGTAGTTACGGTAGAAAGCAACATGGCGTCTTCATGGTTTAGATAGTCTCGTTTCAATGTTTATGAATGAAAATTTATATATTGTGAAAGCGCATGCTAATGAACACGGTGATATAAGCCAGCGTCATTTCNGTCAGACAGCAAAAATGGCTGTTTGTATTAGTAGTTACGGTAGAAAGCAACATGGCGTCTTCATGGTTTAGATAGTCTCGTTTCAATGTTTATGAATGAAAATTTATATATTGTGAAAGCGCATGCTAATGAACACGGTGATATAAGCCAGCGTCATTTCGAATGATAGTTATCATTCTAATTTTTTCATGGTTACTTTAAAATGCTCCATCAGCAAGACAGTCCGTTCTATGGTTAAATTGTAAAACTTAGCCATAGAATGGATTGTCTTACTGATACGGGATCCTTCTTCTTTTTCATTTTTTCATTCATCATTCTCAGATGCACACAAACAGCAAGGCACCCCAATTTGGCGAAATCGCAGAGCGACCGCTGTTTAACGAACGCCCCACTAGATATAACAGGCTGACCTATTTGCTAGTTATTAAGACGAATATTATTATAATTTTAAAAATAAAAGTAAATCGATTTAAAATTTAAACTATTTGCTTGAATTGTAATAAAAGTATTTTCTTGTAATTTAAAATAACGGATTTATTTTTTAAATGCATTCTGTCATATTTAAAACTTTAGACCAGTGGTCCCCAACCCCCGGGCCGCGGACCGGTACCGGTCCGTGGATCAAATGGTACCGGGCCGCCCAAGGAACATTAAATTACTGGTATTTCCATTTTATTTACTATGGTATATTTCTCTCGGGTTTGTGCGACTTTTAATGGACGACGGAACAACGGAATAAACTGGACATAAGAAACACACTTCGGGTGTCATTGTCTCCTATTACCCCCAGATGGAACCGTCTTGTTGCAAAGAAACAAGCTCAGGGTTCTCATTGATTTAACGTTTATTTTTTTGTGTAACTATATTTTATTTTGAAGGCATGTTTAAATACAATTAAATTAAAATTATTAAATTAAATCAATCTAAAATATAAACAATCAACGTCCCCCCTCAGTGGGCCGCGGTAAAATATCAAACGTTGACCGGTCCGCGGCGATAAAAAGGTTGGGGACCACTGCTTTAGACTATACATTAAAAACAAATATGTACAGTTGACCTGTCAATCTCAAATCTCACGGGAACGCGAAAAAAATTCATTATACAGTATATGAAATGTACTTTGTGAATCTGTATATTCCATTTTTATTTCTATTTTATTTACTTTCGGTTATTATTACGGTATTATTTTTTTTTGCACTTACCTCCCTGTGGGCACCAAGTTGGCCTCTTTTAGCTAGCCCATTATGTGGCCGGATGGCCGGGCGTTTAAGGCGGCAGCCTACCGCTCTGGGGGACCCGGGTTCGCATTCGAACGGGTCGAAAAATCCCCAAGAATTCTTCGGGGGGTGGTCCGTTCGGATATGTCGGGCCCCGTCCCTCACTACCCGGCAGCCCCACTGTGGGCCTGGCCGAACCCATAACGGGCTTGCAAAAACAGGCCCTCTTAGTGCCCACAGGGCGGAAAGAGTTAAAAAAAAAACAAAAGCTAGCCCATTATGGTTTTGGCCGAACCCATCTCCCTGTGGGCACCAAGTTGGCCTCTTTTAGCTAGCCCATTATGGGTTCGACCGAACTCACAATTGGACGGCCGTGTGCCGACATATCCAGTCGAACCATCCCCGAAAAAATCCTGGAATTTCATTTCATTTCATTTCGATAAGTGGAGTGTATAGCCTTATGCTTTGCACCCCGGAAGAAACATGAAGGGTGATCGCGCAGATCAATCCGAAGAAGACAGGAGAGAGGTCACACAGCGACCAAAGTTGGCCTTATATGAGACGGCCCACGCGAGAAGGGGGACAGAATGCCTTCCGGGAAAACTTGGAGGGGAAGCTGGCCCCTATTCAGGCGTCATTGGCAAGGAGGAAAACCCGGAAAAACTCCCGCTGCCAGCTCGTCCGAGTGAGGTGCGAACCCCCGATCGAACTCCGGTGTTTAGGGTCTGGTCACCACCATTAGGCGGAGACGGTCCACTCGGCCACCGGTGGGCATCCTGGGATTTTTCGACTCGTCAGAATTCGATCCAGAATCCACCAGAGCGGTAGACTACCATCTTCACCGCTCGGCTATTCGGTAAAAAAAAAAAAAAAACATACCAAAGATCACAACACTCAACACTTATTTTAACGCCCTACTTAGGAGTCACTTTTCTGTAGAGAGTCTGTTTGCGTGAATTAATTAATTAAATAACGCAACAAAGAACCATTTTTTCTTGGAAAATCGTTCTCGTATTGCGTTATGTTATAGCCACATACATGATAAAATTTTACGCGAACGCGTAATGATTTTAAAAACGTTCTATTGCGGAAGTGTAACTAATGTAAGAGCTACTTTGTTTTTTACAATTAATTAAGGCTTAAATTCACGTAAACAAACAGATAACCAATATCTTTCGACGACGATTTCTCGAACTTTGTCTGTCCGATGGAATGTCCAATCTCTGTCGACTTTCCAAAGCGTCTCAACTTTGACAGCCAATCATCTCGCTGACAACATTCACGTGGTTAAATTAATTAAAACACGTGTTAACTTTTTACATTTATCGTAGAAGTCCGATCGGACGATATAGACTCGTCGCTGTGTATTTGGTAAGAAATATATTTAGTTTTCCTACGGTTTTCTACGTAAAATATTGACGATCTATTAGAAATAATTATAATCCTATAAAAGTTTCGTATTTCATACGCTTCTTGTGACTATTTACTGATTGCGATTCTTTTACTACTGTTAAACGAAGTTTCGTTTGCGTTCAACTCTAAACTGAATTACTGTGCAATCGTATTTAATTGGATGCTTGCATTTAAGGTCAGAGGCGTGTTATACTGTAGGCATTGGTCCAAGGGGTCCAAATGACTTTCTGTTTATTGAGAAAAAATAATAGGTTGATACTAGCAACAATTTGAAACATGGCTATTTCAAATTAAAAGTGTCCTTGATTGTTATCTAAATATAAATTTGTTAAAAAAGTACATTTAAGTGCAGGATGCATGATGGAATGGTCTCTAAAATGTATTTTTCCTAGGACCACCAAGATCTATAATGTGTTCAAAGTTGTTAATTTATTTAGATTTGTTTTAACATTTTCTCTCTAGAAGAAAAGGAGGATGTGTCTGATTCATGAATTAAAACCAATAGAAAACTAATAAGTTTAATTGAATTATTTATAGCAAATTTTTAGATTAAAACACAAAATAAAATTTTTGTGTGTTTGAATACTAAAACTGATTTTTTATTTCAGATTTTTAAAAATTTTCCATAATTTTGTATTCTCTTCCAGTGGTTGTTAATCAGATAGAAGAAAGTGTTATCAAGTGAATAGTTATCTTCTGTTACTTAAGTCTGTTATTGCATAACTTACGTATAATATAATCTCTCTTATCATATATAAATTTGTTACTAGTATTCTGTTATTTTAAACTATGATAAATTTTGAGATTAAAAAAAACATATAAGTTCTTTGGTTTCAAATTGTTCAATTTACTTTTTTTCATATTATAAAACATTTTACAATTTTCTCAAGAAATTCAGAATATTTTATGATAAAACATTCTATATTTAGATTTACTAAATTCTTCAATAAGAAAAAAGTGATTTTAATCAAACAGATAAGATCTACAAATTAATATTCAAAAATATTGATGCTAAAAGACAATTTTTATATCACTGTCAAAGTCAAATATTTGAAATTCAAATATTATTTCATTATTGGTAAATGTGACCTTGACAAAAATTTAGTAATGATGTAAGGAGATCATCATAATTGTATATATTGTTATATTAGAATTGAACAAATTTCTTTTTAGTAATACTGGTCAATATATACAAACATCAATAAATCTATTTAGCTTAAATGTTAAATAATAATAAAAGAAAATAAAATATTTGGGGTACAAATTGAACAAATATACAGTATATTCTTTATCAGTCATTTCTTTTTAATTTGCTTAGTGACAATAAAACTAAATGAACTGCATTTAGAAAAACCAGCGGAACTTGTTGCTATGGTAGTTATAAAAGAATTTCGTTATTTTCATACTTGGTATGAGATGAAATATTAATTGCAATAATGTAAAATTATTCAGAGATGACATTCATTTAAATTTTAAAATTTTTTCTTAAATTGAAAAGGTTAAGATTTTAATATTCGTTAGTACTTTTGAAGTTTATGCAACTTTTCTAGAAAGTAACCAACAATTTTCAAATTAGAATATACTTTTCAGTGGAATTCATAAGATAATCAGAAATTTTTGGAAAAAAATTAGCAAGTTATAATATGCAGTGACATAATAAGGATATGGCCAATATTGTTTTTGATCATAGACACCAAGTGATTGAGGATGAATATTTGTTCTTGAGAAAACAATATAGTTTGTGAATATTAATTTAAGTTATTTGCAATATTTTATTATATAAATGGAACTATATTGGAACTATATAACTCTTAATGTCTTTGCTATCTTCTTGTATTCAATTTTTTTTCTTGTCCTTTCATCTAATTATATTTAATTTGTAGTTTTTACAGAGTACAGTCGACCCCCCCATAACTTTGTTGATAATTCCATTTTATATGAATTTCATGTTGTAAGAGTCACTTAGATTTTACAAATACGTGTGCTGGGCTGTCAACGGCTCACGTGTTTGTAAAATCTAAGTGACTCGTACAACATGGAATTCATATAAAACGGAATTATCAACAGTGTTATAGGGGGGTCGACTGTATTCTTGAGCATTTATTTTCTTACTGTAGATTATTCTTGGCCATTCATTCTTTCTTATTAGTGAATTCCATTCTGATATCTTTGTAGGAAAGTATGTTTTTTTCTATTTTTGTGACTGAACTGGTTTCATTTTACTGTTTGAGATAATCTCATATTGAATATTAGAGAAAAGGATGTATTTATTTCTTAATGTTTATGGATGTACGGTAGGCCTACCTATTTGTTTAAATGTGTGTGTGGACAAAATAAACTGGTTAAATCACTACTGAAAAGATATGAATCTTTAAACCATTAAAATTTAAAACATTAATAAAATTTTTTCTTTTGTTTGTTACTTAAAAATATAAAAGTATAAAATACGTGATCAGGAACCGTAGAAGAATGTGATTGGTGAAATTAATATATTCAATTAAAGAAAATTTTTTGATTAATGAAGAACTATCAACACTCAGTTTTGGAAAGTAAAAAAAAGAATTATATGAAGCTGTAAGGAATTTATCTGGAAATGGGAACTGAGAGGGGAAAAATTAATAATATAATAAATATGAGAAATTGAACAATGCTAGCTGTAAATAGAATTTTATGGAATAATGGGTTGCTAAAAATTAAAATTATATACAATTCATTAGTCAAAAGTGTGGTTTGATATAGAACAGAAAAATGACACAAATAAGTAAATCAAATTTAGTAGTAACAGAAAATAAAATTTGTAAAAACATTATTATATTAGAATCCTGATTATTGAAAATAATGTGGACTGATATTACCTTGGATAATGTGGACAGCCATGACTATTTCAGATTAAAAATTATAAATATAAAAGATTTATCTGGTAAAGTAATGGTTCACTTATCCTGCAAGCTTGAGATTGTAAGTGATCCATGTTTCTGGATTTTCCATTTTTCTAGACATTGGCTGAATATATATATATATAATATAAATATAAAATAAATAATGGAAAGAAAAGAACCAAATTGCATTTAACACACTGTATGCCATCACACAAGTTTGTTTTGATATTAAAATTATTACAATTAAACAGTAGGTATTAGGAAATAGAAAAAGCTCATAAACTAGCCATTATCCTAAATCTTTTCACTGCATTTTTTACACTTAAAAGCATCTAATAGAATTAAGATTAGGCCAGATATCTAAGTAGTTAAGGTTGCAGTCTACTGCTCTGAAGACCTTGGAATGAAGTCCAGTTAGCCAAAAAACTACAGGAATTTTTCAGGATGGTCTATCACAAATATGTCATCCTGTTCTTCAACATCTGACACCCTCTATTGTAGGCCTGGCTTAACTCAAGATGGATATGATTAAAAGGCCTCTTATGAGTTAGTTTCATAGAGTGTAAAGAGTAATATATGTAAATGAATTTGAAAACCATCTCATTTCTGATCAGACTGTATTAAGTGAAAGGAATTGATTCTAAATTAATATTTGACTGAATTGAAAATTTCAAGCTATACATTTAAATATAACTGTTGGTATAATAAAATATTGTTAATATTTCTAATTATCACTTTTTCATTCTTAGACAAACAGAATTTTAAAGTTTAAAAAATGAATCATTAAATATCTTGATCAAATATTTATTAAAGTTTAATTTAATATAAATTGGCCAGGAATTTTTTTATTCATGTCTTTAGAATGTATAGTACATCCAAATATGTAATGCTAAATAAATAATATATTCTTATATTATAAATTGTATTTTAAAAATAATTTTTAAACCATTATTAATGTAGATTAATAAATTATATAAATATGTTTAAAATTAGTTATGGATTTAAAAACAAACTAATTATATTTAATTATATAAAAGTATATATAGGAATAGAGAATAAAATGCCAGATAAAGTATTAGTGATTGGTGGAGGTGGCCGTGAACATGCCCTGGCTTGGAAATTAGCTGAATCATCACTTGTACAGCATGTATATGTGTCTCCTGGGAATGCTGGAACTTTCCAACAGGACAAAATTTCAAACATAGGTAAGGAAAAGTACTGATATAAAATTTATTAATGATTTCAAAATAAAATTTTTAAAATATTATAATTAATTTTCTAAATAAAATTTTATAGTTTTGGATATCAAAAATCCTGATAACATTGTAAAATGGTGTCGTAATGAAGATATCAAATTAGTTGTTGTTGGACCAGAAGATCCTCTTGCAAATGGTAAAATAATAATTTTGGTACATATCTATATATTTATTTTTGTGATTTCAAAATTATAATTATCTACTATATATGCAATTTATTTTATACATTTAGTGTAGAATATTTCTATTTAACATATGTTTAAAATTATTCAAGAAATTATATATATATATACTAGCTGCAAGGACTCGCTTCGCTGGGTTTTTATTTGTATGTAATATAGTTTTTTTTATATATATAAAAGACTGTTTTTCTGAGTAATCTAGAATCTAGCTGCAAGGACCCGCTTCGCTGGGCAAAAAGTAACGATAGTGAAGATTAAGATAATTACATTATAGCTAATCTTACCCGTTTTCACAGAATGCAAGAATTAGGTCCCCCGTTTCCAGACTAATTAGAGAATTTTTACGTTTAGTCAAACGAACTATTTTCAACGTTTCTGGAACGTTTACAATCGTTCTATAATCGAACCAATATTCGAATTTTATGTTCGAATTTAATTCGAACAAATTCGAACAAAACATTCGAAATAGAAAGCCACTTTCAACCACTTTCAGCCTCATATCTCCCGCACCCTTATAGCTATCGAGACGCAACCACCCCTATGCACGAATGGAGACTTGGGGCTACCACCACATACAAACACCATTCACGTGCGATGTGTAGTTTTGGCGAAAAAGTGAAATATAGGGACATACATGTCCATTTATATATATATATATATATTGCTTTGAGTTGGATATTAGTATTGATTATCTCATTAATTTATCTTGGAATTGTCATATGACAATGATCAAAATTTTTAAACTTAAATGATAGCAGAAAGTTGATATTTCATGAAATATCAAGGTAAAAATTAATTGATAAATGTTTACAATGTTAATCAATATTGTACAAACACATTTTTCACTTTCCAGCAAGTTTTAATGATTAGACAAATATTTTCAAGCTGCTTTACAAATAAATTTTGGGTCCATGCATTAATTAACTTATTTTTTGTTGTATTTCTGAAACATTAGAATATTGAAAATTCATTTAGGATGATTTTCAAATTTGGGAATAAAAGGTTGTTTGCATGATATCGTTTGATTATTTTCCAGTTTGAATTTCCTTTTTCATATATTTAAAATATCCATAAAATTGTAAACAATATAGGGAAGGTTTTTACATTTTAGAATTTGATTTCCATGTCTAATTTGAAATTTTATAGTTTATAGATGACTTTGGATAAAGTTATTACTAAAACAGTTTATATTGATTACTGATACAGTAAGGTTTCATTTTATGTTTCCTCTTTTTACAAAGATTCACATTAACACATATTTTAAAATCAGTAGCAAAAATTCAAGAACCTGAGAAAAGATGATGAACAAAAGATTAAACAAAATATGTCAGCAGTGTAATATTGTGATTGTTAATGAAGTTAACAAAGTAAATATTATTTGAAATATGTTAATTTAATTGCCTAAATGTCCTTAAATCGTACTTTATTCTAAAAATTGTCAACTTGGACTTATCAGATTATTAGGACTATTACACTGGTGTACGGCTATTTGTAAAAGGAGTTCTTAATCAGAAAAACAAAAAATCTTTATTTTTTCACCTGTAGTATTTCTTGTATTCTTGTATATAGTATTTCCAATAATTTTTATGTTACAGATTAAAATAAAAACTTTTAATTACAGATATAAGATAAAAATAAAAATGTAAGAAATCCATACAAATGTAAGCAATATATGATTGATGGAAGACATTCTAAAATGATATAGTACATAATAATGCATGTGTTTATCTTTACATAATAGTTATCTGTCATAATTAGAAAAGATTGCTTTTATTGTCAATGCAGATTATACACATAAATATTCATCATTATCAAAATTTTCTTGACATAGAAATAAAAATAGTAGGACAGATGTATGGATGCTGGATCCACACATCCATTTACCACAAACCCTCAGCCACCCCCACGTACATACCAGCCAATTCTTACAACCCATTCCCAAACAAGGTGGCCACCTTTAGAGCTATAGTGGAAAGGACGTTCTTGCACTTGTCCACCAAGCTGGCCCTGGCAACCGAATTAGCCTGCATCAGGAGGATAGCAACCAATCATGGGTTCCTGAATATGACTTGCCACTTAGTAGAACGATACTAACACCTGAAATACACCCTGATCGCAAATAATGTTGCCGACTCCCAGCAAGACGGTTTGACACGAGTCCCCGTCACATTCAACCCATACCTAATACAGTACATAAGAAGATAGCCAGAGAATACGGGATATGGTTAGCATACAGAAGATGTCCCACAATTTTCCATATCCTATGGAATGATAAAGATCCTCCCAATTGTACCAGACTCCCTGGAGTCTATTCTATCCCAATCAGGGACAACTGACCGGGTAACCACGTGCATTAACCGGAAGGAGGAGCTGACTCTATCTCTGGCCTGGCAATCACTGTTGGATTCCAACCTGCAACTTCCCCCTCCATTGCACGACCGCGCATGTTAGAAAGGACCCACTTTGTCGAAATGACACCTGATCCCAACAAATAAAGTACACTCTGTCCAGGGAATTCCAGTTAACCTGAAGAAGAGCAAAGAGATTGTTCAAAAACATTTGTCAACAGTGGTATACAATATATACGCGTCATGCACCGGTTACAGGTTCCGAATAGTGTAGTGTAGATTTCACCCCAGTACTGAGATTAGAAAAGTTTCTCTATTTAAAGATTTATTTATGCCAGCTAATTTATATCGTAAGAAGCTGATAGGCCTGGTTAGAACTAGAGCCAAACTACGGTTTCTGACGGAAGAACGGACTTTTACCGATGGCATTTTTCCGAATACGCCTCCCACCAGGCAGCGAACCTCTACTTAAAAAAGTCAGGATCAGTGCCTTAATAGAGCCATCTGGTCGTCCAGGAAGCAGATCTTCATGAAATTGAAAAAATGAAAATTTCTTTTATATTTTCAAAATAAGTGTTATTATAAATATGTGTATATGTTTACGTATATACAAATATCCCTCCTACAACGTGGTTTTTCTCTAATACATTTGAAAATTGGAGACATTCCCATTAAAAAGATTACAACATTTTTATAGGTGTTCACTATCATTCAACATTTTTTATTCACATAACACGACATTTTTTTTAAACCTAACTATTGTGTTATATGGGGATATCTGGAATACAGTTATATATCTATATATTGAAGAAGCTCACGGTTTCATAACTTACCATTTGACTATCATCACAGATTAGAAAATAAAAACAACTATAGATTTTGATGATATGAAACCGTGCTTTGCAATTCGTTTATGCTTCTAACACAATAAAGTGCTATAAATTAAGACACTTGGTGGGTTGTCTCATCTTTATTTAGTTGATACGTGNCGGCTGATAACCATTCCAAAAGATGCGTTCCAGCAGTGTTTCCAGCAATGGCAGAAACGCTGGGAGAAGTGTATACATTACCAAGGAGACTACTTTGAAGGGGATTAGGGTTTTGTTCCTCAAAGTCAATAAATTTATTTTTGCCGACCAAAGGTCCGATACTTTTTGAACAGACCTTGTATGCCTTAACAGCCTTGGCCAACATCCAATTATTTATTAGGATTAAATATGTTATAGAACATTAGCATCCAATCTTCAGATCAAGTTGAACTGAACAGAATAAAATACAATATATATAAATGAAGAATAATTAAAATTTTAAAATAAAAATATTCTATCAGATACTGAAATTATATTAAGAAATAATAATTAAATTGAAAAAATAAATAAATGTTAATTTAAAATAACATATCAAACTTAAAAAACAAATATACACATTGAAAAATTAACAGTCCAATGTTATCAAGGACCAAAGGTGCCAAGTCTGATTTCCTTTTTCTTTTGTTTACAGTCATTTGGCAATGGTCAGTTCTGTTATCTAGATGTAGAAGTTTTTTGAATCAGCCAACATACTTTTTGATTTGTCCATTTTATTTCTGTCTTTTTGTTTTTATATATCTCCTTTGCCAAGGCTAGTTTTTCCTTCTTTTTACATCTAATTTGTTTTCTTTAAAAGTTTTACTTGTGATTCTTATATACCAGATCCCCATTTTTGTTATCTTTATACTGAATTCAGATTTATATACCACACTTTTACAGTCTGATTCAAATGATTTTTTCTCATTTGTAATGAAATAGATTACATGTGATCAGTATTCCTATTTCATTTCCCCTAAAATGCAAGTTCACAAGTCTGATAGTTAGGAGACTAATTTGATATATCTTAATCTTTTAATAATTTTTTGTTGTTATCATGTTCTCTTAATCTTATCATATACTTTAATAAAATAATTTTTCCCATACAATGTGCAAATAAAGCAAGCAACACTCTTGAATTTTGTCGATCAGAGGTATACATTTTTTTTTTTTTTTCAACTTATAGGCCAAGATTTAAACTTTCATAAATCATGTGATACCTGTAATGCAGGTTTCGATAATGCAATTTCCTATAATGCATAATGAATCCTCTGCATTGTACAGGACTCTACTGTACTCTTTATTCCAAAAATACTTCTATGCAAACAACAAATTTATCATTTTGTTGATTTTCTATTGCTCTTAAAAAACATTAAAAAATTTAACATTTGTATGAATTGTTTTAAGTTTGATATATTATTTCAAATTAACCTTATTTTTTAATTATTATTTTTTATATAATTTCAGTATCTGAATGTTTTCATTTAAAAATTTGTATGTTGTATTCTGTTCTATTTGTTCAGAACTTTAAAGTCCCATCTTTAAGGAAGTTAAAGTTTTGAAAAATGTTTAATCCTAATAAATAATTGGACTCTTGAAAGTGAATAAAGCAATGTTTTTTTTTAACTTTATTTTGTTTCTTATTATAAGATAAAATGGGTGTCCATGAAATAATTTTATTTTATAATTTTAGGTATTTCTGATTATTTGTTAAAAAATAATATCAAATGTTTTGGTCCTTGCCAAAAAGCAGCACAGATAGAAGCTAGTAAAGCTTTTGCTAAGGCATTTATGGATAAACATAACATTCCTACTGCAAGATGGAAGTCTTTTACAAACCCTGAAGATGCTAAACAACACATTTTTACGTAAGGGACTAGAAATCTTTCAATGATGTGTACATATAACACTTTTATGTGGTATGTAAACTTTTAAATCCATTACAGGGCTCCCTACAAAGCATTAGTTGTAAAGGCAAGTGGACTTGCTGCAGGAAAAGGTGTAATTGTTGCTGAAACAAAAGAAGAAGCTGTTAAAGCAATTGATACAATCATAGAGGTAAAATGTGAAAAGCACAATTATTCTAAAATTTTCACTGTTTTTGTTATTTTAGTCATTATATTTAATTGTGAATATAAAAAATTGTGTATTTTGAAACAATTATGATACATCATTACAAGTAATTTAAGAAACTACACTTTTAATAAAAAGGTTTAAGAAACAATATAATCTTATTCACTTTCTGGAGTCAAATTATTTATTTATTTTTGAATCTTTCAGGCCTGTGGGCATTAAGAGGGTCTTATTCTATGCCGATTATGAGTCCAACCAAACCCACAAAGGGGGCAACCAGGTAGTGAGGGACAATTACCCATGAAAAATTTTGAGGTTGCTCACCCAGATTCAATCCCAGCTTCCCCAAGATAGTAGACTTACAAGGTCTGTTCAAAAAGTATCGGACCTTATTTTTTTCCGCGTAAACCAATGATGCGAGAGAGGCCTCCTTCGGTGGAGTTGTGGAGGGGACAGTCATGCACAGCCCTGAATTTTTTCCCGCCTGCAGAAAGCGTCAGTCGTTGGCAATCGGCGTATGAGTGAGGTCATGTAGTGCGCTCTCGTCGGATTTCACTAAGCTGGAAAATGACTGAACAACGTGAGCAGCGATATTACATCAAATTTTGCCAAAAACCTTGGCGATACCCGAGTGTAAACCATTCGCAAGATTCAGCAGGCTTTCGGGGACGATCCTCGAGGCCAAAAAAAGCGCGGCAGGTCCGCAGCAATATCAAAGGTCATGTTGACAGTTTTTTCGACTCTCGTGGGGTGGTGTGTCGTGAGTACGCACCACAAGGCCAAACCATCGCAAAGGAGTACTACCAGGAGGTCCTTCGTCGTCTTTCCGATACAGTGCGATGCAAACGATGGGATCTGTGGTCGATCAAAACTTGGCAGCTCCATCGTGATAACGCATCCGCCCATTCTGCGCATCTGATTCGGGCTTTCGTCGCCAAACACAATACTCCTGTGGTTCGTCACGCTCCGTATTCTCTCCACATGGCTCCGTGTGACCTTTGGCTATTTCTCAAGCTGAAAATGCCGCTAAAAGGAACCCAAATTTAGTCGAGAGAAGACATCGTGCGAAATGCGACGGACCGGCTGATAACCATTCCAAAAGATGCGTTCCAGCAGTGTTTCCAGCAATGGCAGAAACGCTGGGAGAAGTGTATACATTACCAAGGAGACTACTTTGAAGGGGATTAGGGTTTTGTTCCTCAAAGTCAATAAATTTATTTTTGCCGACCAAAGGTCCGATACTTTTTGAACAGACCTTGTATGCCTTAACAGCCTTGGCCAACATCCAATTATTTATTAGGATTAAATATGTTATAGAACATTAGCATCCAATCTTCAGATCAAGTTGAACTGAACAGAATAAAATACAATATATATAAATGAAGAATAATTAAAATTTTAAAATAAAAATATTCTATCAGATACTGAAATTATATTAAGAAATAATAATTAAATTGAAAAAATAAATAAATGTTAATTTAAAATAACATATCAAACTTAAAAAACAAATATACACATTGAAAAATTAACAGTCCAATGTTATCAAGGACCAAAGGTGCCAAGTCTGATTTCCTTTTTCTTTTGTTTACAGTCATTTGGCAATGGTCAGTTCTGTTATCTAGATGTAGAAGTTTTTTGAATCAGCCAACATACTTTTTGATTTGTCCATTTTATTTCTGTCTTTTTGTTTTTATATATCTCCTTTGCCAAGGCTAGTTTTTCCTTCTTTTTACATCTAATTTGTTTTCTTTAAAAGTTTTACTTGTGATTCTTATATACCAGATCCCCATTTTTGTTATCTTTATACTGAATTCAGATTTATATACCACACTTTTACAGTCTGATTCAAATGATTTTTTCTCATTTGTAATGAAATAGATTACATGTGATCAGTATTCCTATTTCATTTCCCCTAAAATGCAAGTTCACAAGTCTGATAGTTAGGAGACTAATTTGATATATCTTAATCTTTTAATAATTTTTTGTTGTTATCATGTTCTCTTAATCTTATCATATACTTTAATAAAATAATTTTTCCCATACAATGTGCAAATAAAGCAAGCAACACTCTTGAATTTTGTCGATCAGAGGTATACATTTTTTTTTTTTTTTCAACTTATAGGCCAAGATTTAAACTTTCATAAATCATGTGATACCTGTAATGCAGGTTTCGATAATGCAATTTCCTATAATGCATAATGAATCCTCTGCATTGTACAGGACTCTACTGTACTCTTTATTCCAAAAATACTTCTATGCAAACAACAAATTTATCATTTTGTTGATTTTCTATTGCTCTTAAAAAACATTAAAAAATTTAACATTTGTATGAATTGTTTTAAGTTTGATATATTATTTCAAATTAACCTTATTTTTTAATTATTATTTTTTATATAATTTCAGTATCTGAATGTTTTCATTTAAAAATTTGTATGTTGTATTCTGTTCTATTTGTTCAGAACTTTAAAGTCCCATCTTTAAGGAAGTTAAAGTTTTGAAAAATGTTTAATCCTAATAAATAATTGGACTCTTGAAAGTGAATAAAGCAATGTTTTTTTTTAACTTTATTTTGTTTCTTATTATAAGATAAAATGGACTCGAATAAACCTCAATATATTTATATAAAAGATTATCTATGATTAAAAATTCAAACATATTTTCAGAAGAAACAGTCAAATAGTTTTTGTTTAGTGAAGTAGTATTTTCAGACTATTAATTATTATTATATTTTGTAAAAAATTTTCTAATTAAAAAAATATAATAAAATCTTAGGATAAAGCTTTGAGCAAAGCTGGAGAAACATTAGTGATTGAAGAATATCTGGAGGGTGAAGAAATTTCGGTAAGGAAAATGAACTTATTCTTTATTGATATTTATATATATAGAATACATTAAGGTAAAAGTACAAGATGATTATAATTAAAAGAATTCGTATTAAATACTTTCTACAGAAATATATAACAGTCCAAATTTAACCAAAATAAGTTTTGTATGCTAATATTTTTAGACATAAAGAAGATATTTCCACATGAAACAAATTTAGTTTCAAAACTTACTCTTATGAAACTTGTGACATTGTGAGCAGCAAAAAGTGTTGGTACAATTTCTTAAGATGTTGTAATTCTTAAACTGCACTTGCAGCATTGGCATTTTAATTAAACAGCTTCACAATGTATGTACAGGTATAGTCATGATCATAACTGCTGATCTGCATTAATAAAAATGGCATTTTACTTACCATAGATAGTTTTACATTCAGAAATTGATCATAACACATGAGCATTATGCATAAGATAGATTTTTTTCTGAATTTTGGAATTAAATTTTTTTCAGTGTGTTGGAAACATCAGCATACAAAGCTTGGTTGGGTTTGAACTGCTACATAGCTCTTCATAAAGCATTGAGTTGTCCAATATGTAAGATTTTATTAAAGAACTTACATATGAATTTTATTTATATTTTATAATAGTTTTGAAGCTTATTTAATGTAGTTTAGTCCTAAGCTATCAAGTTTTGAGTTAATACCACTGCTCCTGAATAGTAATCATTTGGCATTAATTTTTCAAATTTTAAAATTTACTATCAATAAATTTTATAATAAATTTATTGGAGAAGATTTTAAATTAATGATCTAAAAAAAAA